TAATTGTTTTTATTCTTTTGAGCTTATCTGGAACGAATCCTCTATTGTTACTGTATAAGCGCAACCTTCTTCTTTCATTTGCTTGTACTGGTCTGCCTTGGTCATCCAGGCACCTATCAACAGCATTAACCCCATGATTGCCACAATCGCGGCCATCTGTTGTTACTTTTAAAAAAAAGTTTTTTATTTTATTTTGCTGTGCATAGTTTAACAAATGAGCTTGCACTGCCACGAAAGCATGGTCAAGGAAAATCAACACGTCAAGACAATAGTATGGTTTTGAGATAAATAACCGCACAATATTTTTGGTTTTTGGAGAAGTTTAAAAATTCTGACAAGAGTATTGCACTGTAGTGTAAGCAATTTGTACTGTCATAGGTCAGTCTAGACATTCAGCTAGTATATGAGTTATAGAGACAAATAGCTAAATTAGTGGGTGGCCATTGGTGCCTCAGGTATTGTTTAAACAACTTTATAGTAAGGCAAAATAAAATGTAATTAAATATTATGCCTGGCATTGAGTTATATCCTAGTGTGACTGGAGGGTTGTGCCTGCGTCCTGTGTGTGTGTGGGAGGGATAGACCGTTGGCCTATACCTTCCTTAAAGAGACCCCCACCTTGGGATGGTGAGTAGTATGAAGTTTATTGCTTGGGCAGGTAAGTAAAGTGGTCTATAGGCATGACATTTTGGGATTAGTTTTGCCAGTAGGTTGCAGCAATAACAGAAAATATTTGGGCCAGGGAGGTGAGGGGGGTAGTTAAAGGGAACGATCAGCTCCTGGTCAGCTAGGAGGGCTTGAGTCCTCATGCTCTGTTAAGTTGTTGGTGTAATAACATACGGTAAAACAAGGTATGGTAACGTAAGCTATTAAACTAGGAAATAATTAAAACAGTGCCCTATGGGCTATGCGCGCTCCAAGTCAGGTGGTAACAGCAGCGTAAGAGTCCAGGGTTGCCTGTCACAGGATAAAAGTGGTGCTCCTTGCCGGGTCCGAATTATGGGCCGCTTTGGGTGCCGGGTGATTCTTCAGCCGGATAAGTGAGTCTGGTGGTAGGCCCAGCTCTTGCAGTAGTGACGCTGAACCCTGGAGGTCTTGTATTGTGTGTGTTGTTCCCCTTCTGCACTAGAAGTGTACGGGACAGGACCCAGCAGTAGCAGATTCCATGCTTTCAGAACAGGGAGGTGAGTGGTTGGCAGGTTTGGGGATCCGAAAGATTCCATCCAGGGTAATGGCTTTGGCCAGTCTGGGGGTAAGCAGGGCTGTTAGCAAGCATCTTATGCAGTGTGGTAATTCAGCCTCTGGGACTTCCTCCAAAACTCCTTTGATTTTGAATACATAATATGAAGAAAAAGTAGAGAGAGTGTGTCAGGTCGCTGAGATTTTGTGGGGGGTAACCCCTAAACATAACATAATTCTAAGGAAAAGAAAAACGTACAAGATAGCCTAAAGGGGAAATGATAAGAGTCCCCTTATGGCTCTTGTACTATTACAGCAACCCCAAAGTGGTCTTGACAATTAATAGGTAAAATATAACTTTTAGGGGGGCGGGGCCTGACCGGGGAGCTGAGCAGACACGCTTTCTGTGAGCTCCCGAGCCTGGGCTGGATTTTTGGCGGAAAACGGAGGAAAACTCACCCAAATTGGTCCTTCAGCCCACCGCAACTGGCACAGTAAAAGCGGGGATACAGGAGGACACCTCACAGACCTACAAACCCGCTGGGAGTCCAAGCCGGGAACTTGGGGCCTACAACTCGCCAAACCAAGCGGCACCCGAAGCATCGGGCCTCCCTACCCCCCCACCCAGGACCAGTGGGGGTTATCCTGGTCCATAAAAGCATGTACCTTAAGCCTAAATTGGCTGCGATTGAAGAAGACAGCCAACAGCACGAAACACAAAGTCAAGCGGACGCTCATAAAATGGCGGCCTCGGGCCAAACTGCAGAGCATGCTTCCACCCAGCCTCTACACGAGCGTCTAGATGCACTGCTCAGCCGGTTCTGGGAGAAGCTGGAGAGACGGATGGCACGTCAAACCCTTAAACACCAAGAAGAGGTGAGGCAGATCCAGGCTGTAAGGCAGAGTGGGCAGACCCCGGGAAAAGCCACCGCACACCGACAGGCGGAACACCCATCCTGGCAGGGGAACATTAGGAGACTCCCTCCTATCCACCGACCACACCGCAGGAGAGCCGCCAGCTGCTGGCGGCGGACAACCACCAGGGCCCTCCACAGCGCCCATCATGGAAAAGACCCGGCCCCGAAAGGCAACTGAGTCTGTGGCCACATGGTGCCAACCCCACATGATGCCGGGAATAAGGGAGAAGCCCCCAGCCGCAACCACCTCCGCTCCTTGCTGGCCCACCTGAAAACGCTGCCGGAACTTCCGCCCAGAGGGAGCCTGAGCGGCCTACACTTACCCAGTTGCACGAGCAGAGTCACCAGAATGGGCATAGGGTGAGGCAACCCGGACTCATGCAGGCCGCGGCCCGCAACCAACAACCCAGCCCACAACACAGAGACTAAACTATTAACCAACTGATCTATAGACTCTAAAGCATGCCACCTACCATGGTAATTAGACCCAGCCATACGCAACACATACTTCATCCCTACCAAGGGAGTACACTCACCTAACACAGCTAGCTGTACGCAAGCACCACACATAAGACCAACACTACCCTCGCCACCTGCATGGCGGTCACAACAGCTTACCACTGCACACATATCGACACACCAGCCTGACCCCGAGAAGGTCCATCACAGCAGTAACTTAACATAACCATTGTTTGCTTACCTTCAAAATGCTTTATATATGTTTTCGTTTATCGACTTAACAAAAAATGTGGCAATACTAAACAAGGAAATGTATCTACCTAATGCTAACAATGTATTGACCCCACCCTGTGAACAAACCGTACATTTCCCTTTTCTCTCTTATGTATCCTATCTCATATGCTGCAATAAAACAAAGATAACTTTTAATTTAATTAGATTAAAAAAAAAAAAACTGTAAGTGAAAAAAGAAAATAATGCTAAAAAGCTGAGGGGAACAAAAAAAGAGAAAATAATTGCTAACCAGTGTTCCCCTTGTCGGGTGATAACACCTATAGCACAGGGTTACAAGTGTAGAGAGACTAAAGGAGATTCTGTCAACTTCACAATATTATATCCCCCAACTCCCATCATCCTGTGCCACTATGGCAGCAAAAGCTGCTTTCCCTAAGTTCTAAAGGTAGTAGCCGAACTTGCAGAGTGACTACCTGTGTATATAGATTAAAATAACAAAGTCGGGTGGCTAAACCGGGGAGAAAGTAATGTTATTGCGGCTGTCAAACCCCTCCACCCACCGCTAATAACTGTCCCAACGCGCGTTTCACCGAGTATCTGCACTTCCAAGGGATCTATATAGACAGGTAGTCGCTCTGCAGGTTCGGCTACTACCTTTAGAACTTAGGGGAAGGAGCTTTTTTTTTCACTTATAGTTTTTTTTTTTTTTTACTAATTAAATTAAAACTTATATTTTACCTATTAATTGTCAAGACCACTTTGGGGTTGCTGTAATAGTACAAGAGCCATAAGGGGACTCTTATTTCCCCTTTAGGCTCTCTTGTACGTTTTTCTTTTCCTTAAAATTATCTTTTGATTTTGAGGTTGTTTTGCTGCAGGGTGTCTTCTTGAGCCGCAAAGCAGCTGTTATACAACAGGGTCTGCTGCCTCAATTCCTGTACCTCTCGCTGGAGTGTGGCTATTTTCTGCGTGCTGGATTGAGAGGTGCTTTCTACTGCTCCTAGGTGGCCCGTTAGGCCCCGCAGATCACTACGGATCGCTGTAACATCTGCTAAAATATTCTTCTGCAGTTCCACAAGGAGGGCGTTCAGGACCGCGGTCTTCGCCGGGGAGGCATCCGGGCCCGATGGGGCCTTTGGCGCTGGAGCCGTAATAGGTAAGAAATCCTCTTTTGCGTCCTCTGATAACTCCTCAGAGAAGTCGGAGCAGCTGCATGATAGTGTCGCCATCTTGGGCCAGGGAGCGCCATGCGCTTGCTTTCACATGTCTCCCATTGTCAGCCTGTAATGAGGTTTGTCTGGCTTTGATTTTTTTTTTTCCATTTTTCATCAGGGCTACCAGGGGGGTCCCCCACTCCAGATAACGAACTGAATTATTTGTAAAACTTCTATGCTCTTCATGAAAAACCCAGAGCTGCAGGCTAGTGCGTCCGCTCGTTACAGAGGTCAAACTCTGCCCCCCCAATCTGTTGTTACATTTAGTACAAGTTTTCCTTTTAAGCGTCCTTAATGGTTGGACTCACATGATGGAAAATCATAACATTAGGGGCGACCCGAGGCAGCCAACTAGTGTTCCAGAAGGTAGAGGGCCCCAAAAGCCTAAATTTACTTGGGCCCATTAACAGCCCCTATGTGAAGAATGAATGGTAGCTTGCCTAGGACCCTGTGCGATTGTAATCCTTCTCTGTGTACACAGACTGATTTCTAAACACATTCATTACTGTCTAAAGACACGTTATTTTGAGTATTATTGCTGTAGAGCTCAGACACACCAACTGCTGTATGGAACTTTTCGAAAAGAGGGATTTGGGTACAAAATCATCTTGACTGGTTGCATGTAGGAAAAGCTCCTGAGAGCAATAGCCTTATTTTGCAGCATATCTTTCATTCTCATGCATGGAAACTATGAGGCTAAGGGAGCAACTGACTGATGATGATGATGATGCTGTTGCTGTGCCTGGGAATGGGGACTATGGTGCTCTTGAGGGAGATCTGAGACTTCTGGACTTGCAGCCTAGTTGGGTAGGAAGTGGGGTGAACAGCCTCTGCTATGTTCCCCTGCCGACCAGCTGCACACCAGCTATTCAACTTACCTTGTAGTTGGTCCTGTATCCTCACCCCCTTGGAACAATGGGGGTTATCCCAGTCCTCACTGTAGATACTGTTATCTTCAGAGTATTACTCAGCTCACAAGACACTTCTAGCATTGAAGATGGCTGCCGCTCAGAGATTTGTACCTTCATATACCCATGCAACACTGGCATCTATTGAAGAAAAGCTTGCACAGGCCCTGCATCGCTTGTGGGAAACATTTTGGGCTTCAATAAGCCAACAAGTGCAAGGATCTGCAGCAACCCTGGCTTCACGATTACGCCAACCTCATCGACTGAAGCCTGCCATGAGTGGTACTCCAGTCACATTGCAGAGACACTAGTGGAGGTGGAAATCAAGAAGTCTGACTCCTGTTCTATCCCTTCTTACATGGCTCACGATCCGAATGGGGTTTAATCCTCTATACAGCTCACACCCTCTGACAGACATGAGTGGGATACACTCCAGAGACCCTGCACAAGTCGTTGGATCCAGCTGGTGCTGTGAGCATTGTGTATTTAATCATAAAATCTGGGAACTTTGGGACTCATACCATACCACAGTCATTTATCACGCTTGGATGGCATAGGCTGGGCGGCTGGGCCCCTACCCTGTTAATGGATGATAAGCCTACATCATGCATTTCTACCTATCTCAATTTATACTCTTATCACCTGCTAGGCTCCCAGTGGTTCTCTTAATCTACTTTTGCAGTATGCTCATTTTATTATTTTTCTTTATTTATAATTTAATAGTCTCATTAGCACAGATGAATAGCACCGTACCTCTACGTACATTCCACTAAACACCCTCATGCAACTAGCCTAATAACGTTTAGTTAGTGAGTGTACTTAGCCTACTATTTAAATAATTTTTATGTCACGCTAAACTCCTAGCATGATGATAACCACTGTAATTGCAGTAATCTTATATATTTATTTATATAATCCAACTCGTGATTCTTTAGCTGTAAGTCTTACTATGCATACCTTGAGTCACTCATGACCAGGGCCAGCCTTGGGCCATTAGGTCTTACTGGGCGAAAAATCTTCACAGTGCTCACCCCCACCCTCCCCCCCTTGGCCATACCCTTTCATACATGTATTGCGTGCGTGCGTGCATGCATGTGTGTATAGGGGATTTATTAGAATCCTGTATCTGGAAAGCTCAGACACTTGCAGTGTTAGACCTTTCCTGTGGTAATCCGCGGCAATGCTCTGATTGTCCCGAGCTAGGAAGACAGCTACTTATGGTCTGCAGACAACAGAAGTGCAGGCCTGATGTGCCATACTGCCTCCTCAGCATTACAGAGGGGCAGATTGAGTATGTCACATAATACTGGGAGTTTTTTTTTCTTTGGGGCTCTGGATTTTCCTTATTTACCTTGACCTCTTTGGAATAAAAACTCATAGTTATGGGCTGTTTAGAAACATAGAAACATAGAAACATAGAAACATAGAATGTGACGGCAGATAAGAACCATTCGGCCCATCTAGTCTGCCCAATTTTCTAAATACTTTTATATATTTTATCACTGAGTTCCACAGCAACACAAAACCCTCAAAGCACCATGTAGTATGTACCACTTTATCACAGAACTCCCCAACAATAAAACTCACAGTAATGTGTCTATAAGTGTATCACAGAGCACTCCAACTATAAAACACATGTGTAATAATGAGTGGAACAAAATACCACTAAGAGACAGTAGAGAAAGAGAATGTATACAAACTCCTTAAATGTTTGATGGTTCTTCCAGTCAATGATGATGGTATATAAAAAAGAGAAAATACAATGATGGATATAAAACACATAATGTGCATTTTGTATGCCAGAGCTCCACTGTAATAAATTTCATAATAATGTTTTGACGGAACTCCAGTACTCTGAGTACCTCCGCCAAGTCATAGAGCACTCTAGTACAAGGAAGGGTGGGGCCAGACAAAAGCAAGGGCTGATGGAAGATTGAGGAGGGATAGGGCAGCTAGTTTACAGGGCCCTGCTGGTGAAACAATAAGACAGGAAAAAGAGGGAGGTCTGTCTTTCATCCCCAGTGATGGTCACACATGTAATGTGTGTGTTGTCTATGTGTTAGGCGTGATAGCTGTGTGTGATATTTGTAACAGGTGTTTTACCTGTGTGTGATATTTGTGCTGGGTTTATTGGCTGTGTGTGATGGGTACTTAAAGCGGCACTGTCATGCCGAACTTAACTTTCCCTAATCGCTTCCTCTTCTCTTCCACTCTCAGGATCTGTTCTTCATTTCTTCCTGTCTGCTCTAGTTTTCTTTAAAACATAAGACAAAGTAGGGACTATTTTGTCTTATGTATATTTCCTACGCTTCACCAGCTATGACCAGCGGAGGAGCAAAAGGTGTTTCATTTCCTGTGGTCAGAGCAATTTTCCCACAATTTTGACCTTTCCTCTGTGATCTTGCAATGCCTCCTTTCACTATTCCCGAAAATCCTGTCATTTAGACAGAACGCCGGCGAAACCACCGAATTTCGCCCTAACAGAATGAGAACAGTTTGTTCATTCATGTTAGGACAACAATCAGTACTTTTGGGTCGGTTCAAAATTTCTTTCGAATGAATGAAATTCCGATCCGTGCAGTGGCTGCATCTTGCAGCTGCTTATTAGATCATTCCCTAATTCCCACGGTATTAGGGATCTATCTACCAAAAGGCTGAAAGACCATAATTCTTCTTTCAGCCAACTTTACTAATACCAAGTAAAAATTATATTGCGAGAAGGGGCATGTCTAGTAAACAGCGAGCAGCCTGTGGACCCAATAAATGGACCCAGTGTCCATCTCTCATCTCTAAACTAGCCTGGGGGGGACATAGTGTGTGTGCGAGTGGGGGCTATTCAATGAAACGGGAGACATAGGGTCCCCGTTGACTCCCACCCACGAGCAGCAGGTGGGGGCCCTAAATGACAATGGGGCGGGGCCTATTGTCCTCCCCCCAGCCCCCACCTATGAGCGGCAGGTGGGGGCCCTAAATTACAATAAGGGGGACACCTATTTTCCCCCCCCTGGCCCCCACCCATGAGTGGTGGGTGGGGCTCTAAATGAAAATGGGGTGAGACCTATTGTCCTCCCCACAGCCCCCACCCATGGGCGACGGGTGGGGGCTAAATGTAAAAATCCCCCCCAGGTGACTAGGGGTCCCCAAGACCCTAGTCACCCCCCACCCAAATAAAATAAAACCCTACCTACCCCCTCACCCTAAAAATAGTGAGGGGGAGACAATAAAACTAAATACCTGTAAATAAAAAAAAATACTTACCATTTGATGTCTTCTTTTTTCTAAAACTTTTTTTTCACCAGAAAAAAAGGCCAGATAAAAAACCATAATACCCGTCGAACTTATAAAAAAAAACAGAGCGCAAAAAAAATGTCAGCCGGAAAAAAAATAATTCCAACGCTGAAAAAATATTCCATCTTCACCCAATGAGGACAGCACACAGACTGAACTCTGCAGGGCAGGGAAAACCTTCCCACGCCCTGCAATTTGGCTCAGAATGCTCTGATTGGTTGGTTTAAGCCAGCTAATGAGAGTGCTCTAACAGGTAAATGAAGAGACTGACAGGTAAGTCTCTACATTTACCTGTCACAGCACTCTGATTGAGTTGCTTGGAATCCAACCATTCAGAATGCTCAGAGTCATTTTACACAGAGTGGGAAAGTTCTTTGGAATTTTTCCACGCTGTATAAAATGATTAAGAGCACTCTGTGTAAAATGACTCAGACAATTTAATTTTATTGTCTCCCTCCTCACTATTTTTAGGGTGAGGGGGCAGGTAGGGCTTTACTTAATTTTATTTGAGTGGGGGGTGACTAGGGTGGGGGCTTTACACTTAGCCCCCACCTGTCGTCCATGGGTGGGAGCCGGGGGGAGGACAATAGGCCCCCCCCCCGTTTTCATTTATGGCCCTCACTCGTCGCTCATGGGTGGGGGCCAGGAGCGAGGACAATAGGTCCCCCTCCTTATTGTAATTTAGGGCCCTCACCCACCGCACATGGGTGGGGGATGGGGGGAGGGCAAAAGGTCTCCCCCCTATTTTTATTTAGGGCCCCCACCTGGTGATCATGAGTGGGGGCCGGGAGGGGAAGACAATAGGGCCCCTCCTTAATGTAATTTAGGGCCCCCATCCGCCGCTCATGGGCTGCTCATTGTTTGGTAGGCATGCACCTACTTGTGGTATAGCAAGTAGGGACATTCGGGAGATTTCAATCTCCTTTATGCTAATATGGGGGTCATATTGACCCCATAGAGTGAGGGAGGACATGGGGAGCTCAGGAAGTGGCAGGGAGCATTGCTCCCTGCCGCTTCTATCTTTACATTTTACAAGGAGGGAGCTGAGCGCCGGTAGCTCCTTTTTTGTAATAAACTGAACGAACAAATGCACACCGATATTCAGTGTTTGTTTGTTCGTCTGACATTTCTATTCATTCATTCGTTTTTCCGACGAATGAATGGATGAAATTCCCGTCTGATTTTCAGACAATAGCGAACGCCCAAGTGTTTAACTGGGCATGTGCAGGAATTTCACAGCGCTATCTAGTGTGGGCAGATGACGTGTCCCACAGGGACTTCATCTCCCCACACAAAGATGGCGGCGCCCAGGACTTAGGTCCGGGCATAAAATAAAGATTTAAAAAAAGGTAATATGGGGAGCCTAGGGGCATATGGGTGTGACTAGGGGGGGAATGTGATGTAGTGGAGTCGGGGGAGGGGGGATAAAAAAAAACAAACGGATGCGGCCATGACAGTGCCGCTTAAACTCAGGTAAAAGTTCCACAGTTATACATATACACTGTCAATTACAGCCACATGCACACAGTCCCAGGCACATAGTCACACACACAGTTACAGGTATATAGTCAAACACACAGTTATAGTCAGTCACACACATGCAGCCACTCACACACAGTTGCAGACAGACAATGACAAACACACACAGGTACAGGTGGACAGTCACATATATACAGACAGTCATACACTTACAGGTAGACACACACATACAGTTATACATACAGACATCATACACACATGCAGCCACTCACACACCGTTACAGTCAGACAGTCTGTCACTCACACACAGTTTGACTGTGTGTGTGTGTGTGACTGTCTGTGTGGCTGTACGTAAGTATGTGACTGTCTGCCTGTACCTGTGTGTGTGTTTGTTATTGTCTTCCTGCAACTGTGTGTGAGTGGCTGCATGTGTGTGACTGACTATAAGATGGCGGTTGCAGGCAGTTGCAGGCAGACAATGACAGACACACACAGGTAGAAGTGGACAGTCACATACATACATACAGCCACACACACAGTGTCA